ACACACACACACACACACACACACACACACACACACACACACACACACACACAAAGAGCAGTCTTTAATTGTTGAACATTCTGACAGCCAGATGTCATATTTCATGTCACCAGAAAATGTATCATCAAATGCCACCTAATGTAAACGCTGTCCACCCCTGCCAGGAGGAATTACGCAGAGAATCTGCAGCGTTCTCATTAATAATGCTAGCTCATGTGCATAATCAATGCTTTGTTGCCTCTTTCCTGCAGGAGAGATGAGAAACGACCTTTACATCACACTGGAGAAAGGAGAGTTTGAGAAGGGGGGGAAGAGTGTGGCGAGGAATGTAGAGATCACCGTGTATGTGCTGGATATTGATGGACAGATCCTAAAGGTGAACACTGCTTTTGTGTCTTACTTAGCAAATATAAACAGTTTTGTTGCTAGACACAACAACTAAGGCTAATAGATTTAAATCCCTAACCAGTTGCACACTATTAAGGGGGAAAAAAGCGTCTTTTTTTGGAGCAAATTTCTTCATTTAAGCATTGCTGACCCAGATGAGGGCTAAGTGTCTCTCTAGTGTGTTGCCCATTTCTGGTGCAGCACTGTGACAGTCTGCCTCTGTGGTTTCCTGCACAGCCTAGGCCTTGGACAGAAAATAGAGTCAAATATAACCCTGCTGTCACTGCTGCTGCCACTACATGGCACGCAACCCCCATCCAAAACACATAAACACAAATGTAAACCTTGTCTTCCTCACTTTATTGCCTTTTGTTGGCTCTGGAAGGTTTACAACACATTTCGAGCTGACATATTAATTCACAGTGTCCTTTTCGGTCTGCCTCGCCCTTGAGGCCATTCTCTTTTCTGACTTTTTTGTTGTTGTTTGGGAAACGTTAATATAATATAATATTCTTTATATCTTTCAGGGTCATGTGGCAGCTGGCTCAGGTGAACCAAGTGTGGATGAGTACCATTCCTTGGTGTTGTATCACAACAACAGTCCCCGCTGGGGCGACCAGATCAAGCTCCCTATTCCGGTCGACATGTTTCGGGGGTCGCACGTCCGCTTTGAGTTTCGACATTGCTCCAGTAAGTGAAAATAGGTTTGTCGGTTTATTTATTCAGGAAAGGTTAAGCGACCACATTTTTGGCAAGTTTTCGCACATTTTAATACACCGTCGGCTTGTGGTGTGAATGCGTGAGGAGCTGCATTCTTCACAGCTGAATACCTTGGGAAGTTGAAGATAAAGACCAGACATCCTGCACTGACTCCACTGTGCCCTGCAATTCCAGGCACATCACTGATAAACCTTTGAAAGAAGTATTCATTTTCCTTGCTTGCTTCAACCTACCAGCCCTCCAGCCTTGTGCCCACTCCACATAGACGGTGTCCAAGTGTTTAAGCTCTTTTTTTTGACTTTGGTACTGATACTAGTTTGTCCAACTTCTTATTTCCTAATGAGACAAAACTTTAATTATAATCAAAGTATGCCTCACTCCCTCTCACATTCTTTCTGTGCTTTGGGGAGAAGGCCGGGTCTCTTCTCTCATAACAAGTCGATATTATTATGCCAGGCCGTGAGGCTGTGTGGCTGTGTGCAGCAGATATAGTAGCCTTATTACTGCTGGCAGTGCTAGTATTCCCACCTAAAGGCTGCCTATTAAGATCCCAATTTAAGCCTGTGGTGACACCAAACTGAGGAGGCCATATTACACATGTTATAAGGGCTTCCAAATTCGGGGGCAACCTGCCTGCAAAATTCTGATTAGCACACACTCTCATTTTCAGTTAAGGCTTAATGGAAGGTTTGGTTTTCTGACTATGCCTTTAACTGCTAATTTGTTTTTGAACTCATTATTATCCAGTGTTGCTTCTAAATGGGGCTAATAGGAACAATAAGGACCTGCCAGTATAAGCTGTGCAATGCTTTATTAACTGGTTGTTTATACAGTACAATTCTGAACCAGTTGAATCAATTTACAAGAGAAGCTGTACCTTTATGAATAAAACGGCATGTTACTGCGTGTGGGTCTTGCACTTATTTTTCTATTAATAATGTGAATTATTAAGCAGTTCCTTCCATTATAGAGCCTCAAAACTGCCATGTTTGGACTCTTTACAAAAAGGCAACCTGAGATAATTACAAACTGCGGCCACAAGAAGGCTGTAATTTAAAGGATGTTGCAAACAAGCAGTAACTTATAGTGGATGAATACTGTTTTATATATAACAAGAGTGACTGCTTTAACTTTGTTTTTTTAATTGATATTGCTTTTTAGATTTCACCGGGTTAGCAGTACTTGCCTTGATTGTCCCAATGAAGTGGCACTGCAGTGGCATAATGGTACCAGCAATCATTCAGGACGCAAAGTTAGGCTCAGGTCCAACATCAGCCAATGCTGATGCCCTTATACTTAGCATAGGGTACCTGGGCAGTGGTTTAGCCTGCCTCCATTACTGCTGCACGGCTACAAGCCACTTTATAACCCGTCTCCACTTTAACTTCTCATTGTCATGGCATATATGACTGGACTGATGGCCTATCTGTTAAATTTTGTTGTTGTACTCCCCTTATCCATGATCCAAGCTGCAGATAGAACTAAAAATGTTATTTTGATTGCAATGGTAATTAGTGGTCTTTGTGAGTAGAAAACCTGAATAACAAGCCAGAGAGAAATGAGACAACAGTTTCTAGTTTGATGCATTAAAAACGTATTTCTCTTGGGAAAGACAACACACACAAACATACAAACTCACAACAGACTAGTAGACACTGTTAAATAAATCACTGGTGTTGCAATAAAAGGAAATAGAAACTTTCCATGCTCCGCTTTTGCTTCCCGCTGTGCACGCATTAACATTTCACTGCTAAGGCAGCAGATAAATCAGATTACATGTGTTCATACTGCAAATTATGCCCAGAACTTTCAGATAAAGCTTCCCACATTAATGAAATCCTCAAAAGAGTAAATCAACTTAAAAACCCCCAAAAAACAACAACTTTTTGCTTAGTTACCTCACATCCTACCGTTATGCAAGTGTGATTAAAGGGGTAGTGAATTTCCGAGTACAGATGGAAAGATTAGAGGTGTCCTTTAGATTTTCCTGTTATTAAAAAAAAAAAAAAATTACATCACGTTTCAAAATTAAAATTAATTGCCTTACATGTGCAAAGCTCAGGTTTTATATATTTAAACCTCTGTTGTTTACCCTATATCAACCAATGCTCTTGATGTTTGATTGTGCTAAAATGAGCAGGAGCATGCACTTCGTTTGCACATCTTTGCACTTGCATACCCACTGATTGGCACCTTCAGCAGTCAAAGGTTACTCACAGAGCCTTTGAATAAATACTTTTCTTCTCCCTGGAAACATACTAAGAATTCAACATATTAATTCGCTGCTGTTAAGTCTAAAAAAGAAAGCATTTTTGTTTTGACGCAGTCTGGGCTGTTCTATTTTTGGACTCAATATCATGTCCATGTGTTGTTGTTTGACAGCTAAAGACAAGGGAGAGAAGAAACTGTTTGGCTATTCCTTTGTTCCTCTGATGCAAGAGGACGGAAGGACTCTGCCAGATGGCACCCATGAGCTCATTATCCATAAGGTAAGACCTGCATACCCTCACCATCTACTGTAGGCTTTGACTGGGGGGGGAGTACCAAATCAATTTTAACCTCTTCTTGGCAGGATATTCGTTTTTGGCTTATATATAGTGTATATAGTTTTTACTGCAGAAACCTTCACAGTGTTGTGTAGGTTCATCTAAGATTGTGATATCTTAAAAAAAAAAAGATATCATCTCATGTCCATCAGTAGATTGTAGCTTAGCCGTGATCTTAACTGAACCTGTTGATTGTTTTGCATCTCACAGGTGCTGTCAAGGATAATTTGGATGGGATTGTGCCCTGTATATGATTACGTGAATCATTGTCTCTAAATGGCAAATTGTGAGAGTCTTTTATGATACAGTTAAGAGCCACCGGCCACCAAACAGCTCGCATCACTCAATTACAGGGTTGCACGCCAGTGAGTAATGTCCGCTTACATAACATTGCCAAGCTGTGAGGTTGAATTTAACCAGGCGTAAGTGTTGCTGTATTTCTGTTTGTTAGTCTGCATCTCTTTATTTAGATTCACCTTTTCTCCCTACGTTTTAAGCGACTCACAGGTTTGTCGTATCAAAGGTCTGAAACAAGTAAAATGACCAGTATCCCCAGTTAAAAGCTGCTGCAATGCTGTCTTGGGTGTAATTCGGAATAATTGCAGACTAGATGCTTTTCCTCAGCTGCAGGCGAAGGGTGTGTCCAGTTCTGTGGAAGGAAAAGAAACATGAGTGCATTCATGCATTTTATTGGCAGTAAGGGGTCCAAAAATATGATGTATTTATTCTATGATTATCTATGGTTTAGTTCAACAGTGTATAAACACAAAGAAAAATGCTATTTTCTTTGTACTTTTTCATGTCAGGTTGCAAGATTTAGTCTTACCAAACCCCAGGTTTTGAGCCTGCTGGTTTTAGTGGACTGCTTTCTTTTTCCTGTGTGTCTCCACCATAGAGGGGGGTAAAGGCCCATTGTAATGCCAGATGAAAGTTGCTGAAAAGCTCAATGAAACTGCATGGCCTAGTTTCTCCTCAGGCCTAAAATAGACACACAGGAGCAGTCCAAACTCTTTGGTAGCTTTGGAGCTCAAACAGCTTCAGATGTAGGACTGCGTGTTAAATCCATAACACAAGACAATCTAATTTCAGTCAAGACCTCTTCAGTAAAAAGAAGACTGTCTTTTGGTTTTTTACCTTCATAAACAGTAATTTATCTATGCCTCTGTTTAAGCAATTTCCCCACATAAGAGGGTGAGGAAGGAGAGCAGCAACAAGATTCTTGGTACCAAGCAGACCAGGCCTTAATGACAACAGATATAACAGTGGAATCAGACACAACATGAAAAGAAGGGTCTGATTCAGAGGTTGGTTGCAAAGGAGCTTGCAGAGGCAGTTGCTGACGTCACACATATTGCTTCAACAGTTGGGGGTTTCTGATGGTTCAGAGATTTACAAGGAAAGCTAATAACACTTTTGTTTGGAAACGAGCCTATTTCTAACTTCAGTATATGACAGGATGATTAGCCACCATGAGGATCAACTTCTCCTTTATTTTGATGTTGGATGACAAGTTAAAGAGCAACCACCTACCTCTCACAAAATATTTACAGACATGATTAGGCTAGCTAGCAGAAACGAGCACTGAAGCTTTTGAATAGACAAAAATGTAAACTATTTACTATTGCAAGTAAAGCAAAGCGATGGATCTGCTGGTCAGTTATCGGGCAATACAGGTCATTACTTAGTTCAAAATGAATGCAAAGAAGGAGTATTAAAGCCTGAAAAGATGCCTGTGTGAGTCCTCCTTAATCATCCTTTCAGGCTCAATATGACTGATGTAGATTCCACCCAAGATCTTTGATGTGGTATGCCCAAATATTATCTTTTTGAAAAGTAATTAGAAAAATCATCCACCTTTTCCTGTATCTCCCCTCGTTCTCTGTTTTTAATCGGACACACTGAGGGTTCAAACTGGCATTTGAACCCTCAGTGTTGCATTCTTCTGCTCTTGTCCAAAACATATGCCAGTGGCAGCTCAAAAAAGTTGTGCTTTATTTTTTTCGCTTGGTTTCCTTGCAGTGCGAGGAGAACACCAGCTTGGCTGACTGTTCACGCTACCTGAAGCAGCCGTTCTCCAAGCCCAACCTGCCGTCTAACAATCAGACGCTGAAAGGCACCAAGGAATCTTTCTGGATCACCAGCTTCCTCTGCTCCACCAAGCTCACGCAGAACGGTAAACAAGACTCAGGCATCGACATTTGGGTCGCTTGTCTGCTGAACTGTTTTTGGCTGCCACACTTTTACAGATTTTAATTGGGAGTTTAGTTGTGCAGCACTTCACTAGCTGGTTCTGTGTGCTTCTATAGATCAGTGAGTGTTACAAAGAATGCAATCAGTCTTCAAAAGAGGCTGAAGAAAATGTAGAAATGCCATATGTTAAGGGAAGTCAAAGAGATGGGTTCTGTGCAAGTGTTGAACTGATGTTCCCCTCCCTAGTGTGCGAACAAACCAGTGAATATGCAAGGTGGTAGGAACGGCTTCCGATCTGCAAAACTCACTAATGAACTAATAAGTCCTTATGCTTTTGGGTCTGGAATTTCAGCATGGCTAGAAGACTAAGTCAATGTTTGAATAGAAACTTTAAAGTTACAAGCATAATTCACTTGCAACACTCTTTGTTTATTTATCTTTTGAGATGCATTTTAAGACAACCAAAATCAGTAATGTAACAACACAAACAGAATTTTGAGTCTAAAATTGCAAAAAGACATTTCAGGTTCAACAGCGACAGCTAAAAGACTTTCTTCTTGAAGCTTATGTTTTATTCATGCGTATGTCTGGGGAATCCTGCACAGGAAAATGACTTTTTATCTCCCTCATCCTGCTGCACTTGAAAATGTCATCATTTGTTTGGATACGTTGGGGGCTTTGGGGCTATAATTGAAGGGCCTGATGATGCTTTGTGATGTGAGATGCACGCAGCTCTCATAATCCTCATAATCCTGTGTTGTTGTTGTTGTTGTTGTTTTTTTTTTTTTTTTTCAAGCAAACAAGGGAAGCATCTTGATCTTGTCACTGTTTGTAAGTCATGTGTCTTTTTGCATCTTACCCCTCCTTGTTGTCTTCCTTCAGGTGATATGCTGGACCTGTTGAAGTGGCGAGCCCACCCTGAGAGGATCAACGACAGCTTATCAAAGCTGAAGGAGATCGATGGCTCGGAGATTGTCAAAGTAGGCCAGCAGACAGACTCTCGTCCATGATTTGGCCCTGCTTTTTCTTGCCTTGTTCAATTCAATTCAATTTTATTTAATTTATATAGCGCCAAATCACAACAACAGTCACCTCAAGGCGCTTTATATTGTACAGTAAAGCTCACTGTTAAGAATGAAGTGTCACTGTTTTGTTTCAATCAAAATGTATTTAAAGTTCAGGTTGAGGAAATGAAAGCCTGTTTTGTACTTCTCTAACAGTTTCTCCAGGACACCTTGGACACCCTCTTCGGGATTTTGGATGAAAGCTCCCAGAGATATGGACTTAAGGTGTTTGATTCACTGGTAAGTCAGTTGTCCAAATGGCCCAGTCGTGTCGCAGATTTTTTTTTGTGTGTGCGCATTCTCAGTTTTTCTTCACATCAGGAGCCATCTGATAGTGTTTGAGTCAACAGTAAGAGCAGATACACAAACTGCAAGAGAAAGATCTAGTGATGTAACGCTTCAGAGCTCGCTGAAGCAATCTCAACCTGGTCATGCTGCACTGAGCTGATAGTGTGAGCCCGGAGATCGATCTCTTTCTCTCTTTCTTTCTGTCTCTGTCTCCTCATGTCTCTCTCTCTCCAAATCAGTTTCACACTGACACACAAGCACACTTTCTCCTCTCACTTTGGCGTTATCAGTGATGAAAAGGTCTAGTGGGCCGCTGTAGCCATCAGGTTTTCTTTATGTTGCTCGAGATCAATCAAACAGGTTGGACGAATGGACTTGTGCTCTGTGGCTGGACAAGCTCAGATCATACAACAAGCTGCAGACATGAAGTGATGGGTTTTTAAAAATATTTCTAGAGATTTGTGTGCAGCATGTAAATACGCTTCTTTTTAATCTCGTAGCCTCATATGAAAGGCACAATTTTACATTCATGCATCTTAGATAAAACTTTATTAAAATAGACAGAATTCTTTAGGGTTTTTTAAGCGATATGCCAACATGATTTTTTTTTTAAGTTGTCTTCTCTGTTTACTCTAGGTCCATATCATCAACCTTCTCCAGGACAGCAAATTCCAGCACTTTAAACCAGTCATGGACACCTACATCGAAAGCCACTTTGCTGGAGCTTTGTCCTACAGGTATGTGATGTTTTAGCATTCACTTGTAACAAATGCTGCAGATTTTCAAGGCTACATCACAGAACCACACATTGTATTCTAATAAGATATCATAAGAGGTAGGCTGGACAAGAGAGTCCAACCTACGTCAATGCTGAGAGGCAGCTTTGCTCAGTCCTGTGCTTTGATAGAAGATTGGATGAAATGCTTATGGTGCCCCCTGGTGGATGAAAAGTGAATTAGAAAATTGTGCTCACTTTTGTCTCCCTGGATTTCATTTTTCCTCCATCACACACCTGCTGTTCTCACCTCACCAGTTGTTTCTTTCAGTCTGTACCCATTTCTGTCTTCTGATATTTTTGTTAAACTTTCTTTTGTAAGCACACACACCGCTGCCACCTTTCTAGAAGTTCTAAACAGGAAACCAAGATACTTAAAGAGTACTCTCATAAGTACTCAATGCCATATGTGTCAGAAGCGCACCGCTGGATGAAGATGATCTCTTGAGTTGAAGAGTTTAATTTCAAAGTTCGACCGTTTAAAGCAGCAGTAAAAAAAACTGAAACAGATTACAAGTGGGTGGGTGGCTAGGAGCTTTTATTACTCTTGTCAGCCCGCAGTTTCATGATTATTACACATGGCTGTAGTATTGTATTGATGAATTAATGTGACCAGAGTTCATTTAAATAATGGACGATAGACTGTTTTAAAACATGACACTATCTCATCTATATTTGCCAAATCCATTGAGAGAAGCAATGCAGCTAGTGGTAACTAGTTGTACTGTGTGTGTGTGTCTCCTCCAGGGACCTGATCAAAGTGCTGAAGTGGTACGTGGACCGCATTGTTGATGCAGAGCATCAGGATCACATACAGCAGGTGCTCAAGGTGAGGCACGCACAAAGACAGCCAGGCCAGTATTTCAAACTGTAAATGCAGCTGCCTTTATCGATACACAAATACACCCATGGACACAATGACGGCATCCACTGCCACTCCTGCTAATTCATACGTTCTTCTACCATTTGTTATCCCCCACCTGTGTCTATTACACTGCATGCAGTTTTAATGAGCAGAAGCACGGTGCCTCTAGTGTTGGGAATCCTCATCACATTTTTCTAATGACTCATGCAGACACACTGTCAGTGGAGCACATTGCGGCACCCAAACTGTGGCTCCTCGTTTAACATTCACAGAATAGATTCTGCACCAGAAGTGAAATGGTAATCTGTAGTGCAGTAAATAATGAATAAGCGGTACAGTGCAGATGTGCTTGCAGGCTTTTCCACGTAGAAGCAGACAAGAGAATCTCTTTAGACGGGTTTAATTGCGTATCTAACATGTCGATGTGCTTATCTTTAGGCACATTCCTTTTTTAATAAAAAGCAAAGCGGATCACTGTCAAAAAACTGCTATATTATAAATGAGCTCAATAAAATTAAAATTAAAGGTTATCATGAATAAAATTGTTTTATTTATTTAAATTCATGTATTTCAAGACTTTGCCATAGACTGTATATTAAAGGCGTTGGTAGTCACATCAATGTCAGCTATTGCTTTTGAAGCTTCAAGATGGGCATTTTACTCAGTGTTGTCGTTTTTTGTTTTGTACCCACAAATGACCTAATTTGGAAAAATAAATCATGTAACTGCTAGCATGATTTATGCTATCAGAGAGACACAGATACCTGCTGCCATGTAAGTCAACTTATAAATAAAATAAAACTTTCACTCACTTTAGAAACTGGAGGATGGGCGTCTTTGACAGTATGTTGGTACAATTAAATAAGCAGCCATGTTATTTGTCAGGTAATTGCATTAAACCTCTTCCACGGGACATACAGTCGGAGAGATCCAGTTCAGTGACTTACATTAATTGAGGGGATCTCCGAGCAGATGGCTAAAGGCACCAACTTGTTATTCAAAGCAGCCGCTCTATTAATTATCCAGAGCTTTAAGCCCTTACAGTTACAGTTGGATACAATACAAAAGATACAATTTAAACTGCTGAGGTGTGTGGAAATTTGCTCCTACGTTCCTTGAAAGAACAAATTGGCATCCAAAGTTCTTTTTGTATTCCAGTAGCTTTAGTGATCTCCCTCCATGAATTTGTTGACATATGTGAGCCCTATATTGATGCTATCATTATTATTGCTTTTAATAAGTAGGCGATTGTTCGATGCGATGCGCAGTTAGCCGCATTACTTTATTTCATCGGTTTTATCTAAGGAGGTTCATGCTAGCTTACACCGTAAGTTATGGTATTTGGTTTCAGAGGGGTTTGTGGTTATGGTGTACATCTCCCACTGAAGCATAAATCTCCACCCTGACTGTAAATCTGTCTACTACTGTTTTTAAATTGGGCACCCTCACATTAACATCTGTGAGTACTGGACAGCCTCAAGTGGCCCTTGAGATCACAATGCCAGAGTGACTTATTTGTTTTGTTTCAATTTATTTCTTCATGCTTGACTCAAAAACTCAAAATGATGAATTCATTATCAGAATTGCTTGAATAGTCTGGTACTTTTGACTTTGAGATAAATAAAATAATAAGAGATTGGATGAAATTCATCAGGACAAAATGTACGAATTCTCTATTATCTGACAACTTTCCCTGGAAGGAACTTTTGTGCTTTTTTCCATCAGGCGGCAGAGGACAAATTCTTTTTTCCTTTTTTCCTCTTTCCTCTCAGGCCAGCGAGTACATTTTTAAGTACATCATCCAGTCCCGTCGGCTCTTTTCGCTCGCTACAGGAGGCCAGAATGAGGAAGAGTTCAGAGTCTGCATTCACGAGTTGTTCATGTCCATCCGCTTCTTCCTCTCGCAGGAGAACAAAGGCACCACGCCCGTCGCACAGACACAGGTGTGTATGGGCTTGTGTGAAAAATCAGTGACAGGCATGAGCGTATCTTAAGATCTTTGCAGCTTTGTCATACATGCGCCTGATTGTGTGAATCTGAATGTGAAAATGTGCGCCACTTGATGTTTTCTTTCTCAGGGGCTCCTGTTGATGCAGTTGTGAAAGGTGAGAAATTGGCTGTAATTGAATTTCATGCTGCCAGAGGGTTTGGAGGCAGAACAGGGATTTCTGTGGCAGGTTTTCCTTAATCAGTGGGAGGTCTGCACAGCAGGGCAGCTGCCTTCACTGATTTCAAAGAAGACCAAAACAAAACAAGCTAAAGACCCCAAAGATAATCCTAATTACACACCAGAAACAGATGCTTGTGCAGTGGTGTATTTGTGCACTCTTTTGTTTTTAGTTTTTTTGTGGAAAAAAACCCAGTTTTCTTTCCTGTGGTACGTGTGTTGGTGCTGTGGTGTCCATCTGATCTTATGTCTTCTTTATCTGGGATAATCCAGTTAAATTTCTCACATTTTCCTATATTTTTTAGTGTTCACCTCACCCACACAAAATCTAAACATGTCTTTTCTTTTAGCAGCCATAACAAACTACACATGTTTGCAAAAACCTCACTTTGAATCTTCAACTTTGAATCAGATTGCTGTTGCAACTTTAACTATTCCAGCTGCGCTCTGTCCATGCTCTGTCTGAAAACCTCTGTTTTAGTCCCCCACTGACTTCTGATCTGTATTCTCAACACAACAATAGCAGTGGGAGAATGCAGGTCGGGCTAATACTAATCCCACTTAATCTGTAACATCTAGCACACACACGCCAGCATACACAAATACATACACACTCAAAAACATAAGCAGCAAACCCATATACAGATAGGCAAACTGTTTCCTGCACATATGGAATTTATCATGTGCAGAACAACTTGAGATTGGCAATTTGGTATTTAAGTGTCACTCCTGTTTTAGATTTTATACTGTTAAGTAAAAATGCAAAAAAACAAAACATGATTTGAACAGATTTTTTGATATAATTATGCTTATTTAATGCAAAAATTTGATATGCTGCATTCTAAAATTAGTAAACACACTGTGATTACTCAGAAAAGCTACTTCAGTTGGGCAGTTACGGCCCTTGTTGCCTTATTTAAATGGATAATTTTTTTAAAGAAAACATCTTTGACAGTTGCTGGAAAACAAAACAGCATTTGTCTTCTGCCAGAATGTCCCAGAGAAGAAGAATGTTAGTGTTAAAAAAAAAAAGAGAGACTCAAAGGGAGATATTTAGTCTTTTTTTTCTCAACTATTCAATGAGAAACTGACAAAACCTGACAGGAAGAAGGAGAATCTGACAGCCAGCTACAAACAAGTGATGGGCAGCAATCCTAGCTGTCCTTCAGCTTAATCCACGTAATCCGTGCCTGCCAGACTTCTGACTAAATCTAAGTGGGGCCAGTGATTCAGGGCAGAATAGTAAATATTTACCTCTTTTTACGAAATAAAACAGCTGTCTAGAAACATAGTATGAATATTAAGAAGAGTATGCAGCAGTACAGTCGCTTCTTCTTGAGTCAGTTCTTATCGGCTGAGCTGAGCTGCAGGGCATCTTCACAGTGTCATTAGGATGTAGCTTCTTTATTATGCTACTTACGTCATTAAAGTTAGTGAAAGATGGATGGTAAAATATTTACTGCATATACATCTATAGGAACACTCTCATCATGGTTTTCAGCACAGTGATTCCATGCCTGGAGAAAGCATTTAAACAAGAATGAGCTCCACCTGTTGCACCTGCACCTGTTATTGAACATTCCCTCTTTATGCGCAGGCCGTGTTCCTCCGAACATTTCCGGCAATTTACGGCGAGCTGTTGAAGATCTTCACGGTGCGCGAGGTGGCCGGTTTCGTCAGGGAGACTCTGGGCAGCCTGCCTACCACCGTCCATCCTGACTGCCCCCTGGAGGCCGTCAAACTGCAGTGCATTGCCAAGACTGTGGAAAGCCAGCTTTACATAAACCCAGGTAAATACTAGTAGGACAAAAAGCATTTATTCACAGCATTTGGAACATGATCACAACTCTTTAGCTCTACAGTCCCATTTGAGAACACACCTTAGCTAATTGTTACCCTGCAGTGAGCCAAATTCCAAGTTATTAAACTGTTCTTAATAAAGCAAATTTACACTGAAGCAAATTACTGTGTCAGTTTTTTATTTGCAACACGCTCCCAAAGGCTGCATGTAGCAGGGAAAAAACATCCCTCATGCAAATCATATGAATGTCATACAAGATTTTCATTAGTTCCAGTCAATAATGTTTCAACTGAGCATGAAAGCAGAGCAAGACATTATGGCCCCGCGGAGAAATGAGTGTAGAAAATTTTCTTAGTTGTTCCCGTTCTGTTATTTCTACTTCATTAAGTCTTTGATGTGTTTGTGCTGTAGATTCACGATGCATCCTGTTGCCGGTGGTGCTTCGAGTGCTACAGGCCCACATGCAGGAGCAGAGAGACCTGGTCATGTGTGCCCAGATCCTCTCCAGCATGCTTTCTCTAATCAAGAAGGAGGAAAATGGCACTGCGGTGAGTATTACGCTCATAACTGAGAGCCATTAGTCAGGCCCCCCTGCTTCCTTAAAGAAACACTGCAGTGTTTTGGGAAATACACTGGCTTTCTTACTGATGAGGAAACTGAGACAGCTGGTTAACTGAGCTTAGACTAAAAAGCTCAGGTAATGAAATCCATCTAAAGCATATTTCAAGCTCAAAACCCAAATTTGTTTAATCTCTTAAAAGCTTATAGCTGTCTTTAGAATTTCTTTCTTTTTGTTTTATTGATTAATGAAAAAACAGTTTCAGGTTTTTATTAAATGTTAGTGCCAGAAAAAAAATCCCTGGCCTGCCCTGACTAGAGCCTTTGCTTTTAGTTTTTTAAATTTGGCCAGTCAACTCCTTGGAGGTCCCACTGGCCATTTGCACCTGTCTGCATCCCACTATTTCAGTAGACTTCAGTAATGCAGAGAGCAAACGTCCAATTAAACTCAGAGATCGAACAGTGGCTTTCGGCGTAAGATCGCTCCTTCCGAGCCTAATGATGGCACCGTTTGCCACATTGGGATCCTTGTGACTTCATCCTCTTTCTCAAATTTAAATTCAAAATGAAAGGTTGCCTTTCTCTTAGAATGAAGGAGATCCCATGAGCTCAGGGGGAGTTACTTAAAGGTGATATCTGCCAGTTTGTTGCTTTTGATGGATTGCGTCACACCTCAAAGACACACAACAGTCACCTCACTTTGAACAAGAATTTTTTAAGTCATTGCAGTCATTCATCAAATCATTGTGCTGTTGCATAAAGATCTGGTTACGCTTTAAAATGTGGTGTACAACTAAAGGCATAATTCCTACAACTAAGTGCTGATTCAATGGAAATTAAATGGAATTTTAATTACTTGAAATTACAATGGAATTATATTTACCTACAAATAATAACAATTTCATGGTAATTTTGAAGACAAACAAGAAAAAATAAAAGACCATCAAAATTTGCAGACCTGTGCTTTTCCATGAAAATTATGAAGAAGTTACATAATAATGACGACTGTTTATACAGTGCTTGAAATTACTTGCGGTATAACTTTTATTTCCTCTCGTGTAAAATACCTGAAGTTATGTGTTACTTAAAATGACTTGCAGACTACCGAAATGTTCTTGCAGTATACCAAGTTCTTTGTTTCCTGTAAAAATCTGACTTGTCACCCCCTTATTCTAGTGCATACACCGTTAAGTACTTGTAGGTAAATTTAAAGACATTGTAATTTCAATAAACTACACCATTTAATCACTCGGGAATTACAGCCTCAGTTGCATGTCTTATTATAAAGTGTTAGCAAATATCCCTGGCTCCTCCAAGTCATAGAATAATAACTTTTTGAAATCATAAATAATATGGTGTAATCGCTTCATAGAAACTTGCGCAGTTGCAATCAATTCCTGATGTTTTTCAAGAATCTGCATGACAGTATCTCTCCCATTATATCTCCCAAAATAATTAAAGAAAGTCAACACCACAGGAATCAGTCCTGCACCAGTATCGTTGCCAGTACACTGCAATAGCAGATTGCTTTGTTGCGTGTATATGGTCAATTAGTCTTGGTAACCGGGACACTGGCAGCAGTGCAGTCCAGTAATGAGAGCCATCAATTTAGCAATGGACACTGTCAAAGCGGCAGTCACTTTGAGCTGTGTATGTGTATTTGTGTGATTTGCCTGTCTCTGTGTACCTGCTCAGGTTGCCGGGCTTGTACCGGTCCCTGCCAAGGAGGCAGCTAGTGGAAGAGGCAGCCAGAAAAACACATACACAAATGCGTGCACACATGAGCACCCACTGGCACCATA